ACTTGCAGCACTCTGCAACTCTTAGGTTCTGTTCTCTCAACAGTGTTCATTTGCAGAACTTCACTGAATTTACAAGTATCACTTTAGACAAATATATCTTTAACTGAATTAAGATTTTGACTATAAATGTTTATGATGTGAAGCACTAAATTCAAGAATCCACTTTAAAAAGCCTGTAAGTTAAATGAGTGCTTGGAAACTAAGCATGAATTAATCATCTGCTTCCAGACATCTGTCTCCCTTAAGAATGTGCTTCCTTAAGACTATAACTCCTTAAAATGGGATCACACAAATACTGTCTGACTCCACTGACAAATTTGTCTATATCCAGATGTACCTTAATTAACCATCCATCTAATGCCATTACAGAACATCACATGGACTGGGAACAACAGAGCTCCAGGGGAATCACTGTCACACAAAGGCCGTGGAGTGGATCTAATGCAGGGCTCTGTCCTAAGGACTGCTCCTAACGGGGAAACAACAAACCCCAGCCCCACTGCAGGAATGTTTTATCCAACAAACCCCAGCCCCACTGCAGGAATGTTTTATCCAACAAACCCCAGCCCCACTGCAGGAATGTTTTATCCAACAAACCCCAGCCCCACTGCGGGAATGTTTTATCCAGCTTGGGGGGTTTCTCCTGACACCTTCTGCTCTCTTTTGTGAGTGGGACCAGCAAGGTGCCCCTGGTGGCACAACCTCAAGGATGTCACACCCCTCTTCCCTGGGTACAGAGGTGTCCCCAGACCCCTGTACTGAGCCAGACCCAAAGTTTTGGGCTGTTGGACACCAGAGTTCCCACCCTTGGTGTCATTTTGTACATGGTTTGTTCCCTGTACGTTGGGATTAGACCATGGAATCCCTCAGTTTGGAAAAAACCTCCCTGGTTTGAACATGAAGGAACTATTGTCATAGAGTCTGAAGTGGAAGCTCACGTTGCTTTCAAATGCACACACCAGGAAAAATGGGATTTCTGTTTATTTGCAAGTGGTCAGCCATGCAGCCAGAGGAAATTCAGGCCATTCAGAGTCTCCAACTCCCTTTTCACCATTCCCTTCCCCTGTGTCTTCACTGCACACACACACATGGAACCAAAGTACAGGGGCAGGCAGGGGATCCGTGGGACTCACCTGCAGAGAGGCTTGTGGAGTTCCTCAGGTACCAGCCCTCCAGAGACTAAATTCACACACTAAAGATGACATTTCCACTGCCCTGGTTTTCTACACACACAAAATTCCACCTCAACCAGGCCAGCCAGGCTCTGCTCATTTTCATTTCTTTCTGTCTCAGAAGCAGCATCAAAATCTTATCAAAACAAATCCAAACGAGTATCAGTCCAAGAACAAAACCAACCCAACATGCTTGGGAGGGAACTCTGAGCTGTTGTTTCATGAAACATTCTTTTCTTTTATAACCTCATCTCATTTAAGAAGAGAATGGGAAGCTCACGAAGGAAGCCCTCTGAGCAAAGCACCAGAACCTGGGCTCCTCTGCCAGGAGTGAGGAATGTGGAATGGATCCCCAACACCAGGAGTAGTTGGTATCACTGTTAAAAGCAGGGGCAGCAGGTATTCCAGTAAGCAATCATATAAAGGTAATCAGAGACTCTTACAGCTCTTGAATTAAAAAATATGTAATTTCTTTAAAATAATATTCCAATCTCAGTTTTGCTGCTATTACCTCTTCTCTGCAGATCCTTGAACAGCTCAATTTATGCCTTCTTTCATAAATTAGCAAAGCAATCTAGGCCTGCTAACCCAGGCTGTGAGCCACCAGCCTTTACTAGGCAAAAATAACTGCTTGTTCTGCTGTGGTGCAGACTCTGCACCAAAACAGTCCCAAACCCATCCTAGATGGATTTTCAACAAGCTGCAGCCTTGTTCATACACAATTTAATTAATCTGGGGAAAGGACTAAGAAACAAATGGTCCTATAAATGTCTGAAGTGCAGAGTGCTGGTCTGTTCCACCCATGTGTCTGAACTCCTGGCTCTGTGCAGTGCTCCTGGTGATCTGTGGCCCAGATGTTCACGGGGGCTTAAGGACCGAGTTCAGAAAGTGCTTCATTTCTGACTCCAGTGTCCCCCCAGGTTATGATCCAGGCTGGGGAAGGGGGCATTCCCAGCTTTCCCAAACTCTCCCATTCCTACTGCTGCCCAGCACTGCTTATAGAGCATCTCAGCTTGGGTGAGATCTGAGCCCACACTCATCCCTGCAGCACAAACCCGGGGACACAGACAGCCCTGGCTGGAGTGACACACACAGTGCACAACCCCCTCCCACAGCTCTGGGCTGGGGCACCAGTACTCACCAGGAACAGCACATCACCTGGGGGTACAGGAGGATCAGCAGGGGCTTCAGGTATCCCAGGACATCTTCATGGCAGGATCATCCCCACTGGAGCAGCTGGATTGGCAGCAGGTAAACTTGTTTATATCCCTTCCATTCCAGGAAAGAAAATGAAGCTTGTTCATTAAACTAAAAACTGAGGAAACATGATATATTGATATCTATTGATACATATGATATAAGTGATAATAGCAATTAAATCCATTGGAATTGAAAATATAGCCTGGTACAGAATGCAGTAAATCTCTCTTAAAATAATGGGTTTACACCAATGGAGAGTGACATCTGCCCATCTCCAATTCATCTTAACCTCCCCCTTAGCACACAGAAAAGTACAAGTTGACCAGATAAATGGTGTCTTTAACTTTCTGTTCCTTTTGTCCTTGCCCTACGTTCCTACTATTTGTCAGTTCCAGATTCAGAGCAATACAGAGAGTTTTGAGCAAAGGATAAATTATTGTTTATACAGACTCTCATCTGGAAAAGAAACTGAAATTTTGAGGTTTCAAGCATCTTTGCCTGAACAATTCCTAACTGTGTGAAGACCTGAAGCACATATTTAACAGCAGGCACAGGAACAGCCCCACGAACCTTCACCTGCCTATTCTGCCAGGGCAGCATGGACTCAGCTCCTCTGGGCCTCAGGTTCTTCCTTTCAGAGGGTCAGTGCTCTCCATTTCTAGCAAATTAAGAGGGAGATGGTCAGATGATTATCGTGTAGAGACCCGGGGCACTTGCTTTAATAGAAAATACTAAATTTAATCCCTATCTTTTATAGGTACAAAATAATACCATTGAGTAGTGCTTGATGTTTACAGCTAATCTTTGTTCTTTTATAACTGTGGATAGAGAAGCAAGAGACAATGTCTCTGACTCGGGCTTGGACCCCTCTCCAGTTCAAACATTCCATACACCATGTTTGCTTCCAGTCTTCAGAACACCCCCCCTCCCCCAGCTGCCCTATGCAGAGGGCTGCTCAGACAGGGATTCCTGTGCTCCTGTCCACCACACCTGGGATCTCCTGCATTCCTCAGGTGCTAAGACACATATTTAAGGTCCAAATTCATTACTAAACACATACTGAAATTCAAGTTCTGCAGACTGAAAACTTCTGTTGTATCACCACCTTTGCAGATACAAAAAGTGTCTTCCTCACCAGTTCTCCATGCCCAGGCCCCCAGAGTGCCCTCAGGAGATCAGTGGCAGCTGACACCAGCACCCTCTGCCTTCTCACCTGTGAGGGGTCACCACAAGACCTTTGAACACCCTGAATCCTCTGACTCGAGTTCCTCTGGGCTCAGAGCTCCCACAGGGGAGAAGGTCTTGGCACATCCCAGTGCCACACCACCAAAACAATCATGTGCAAACCAAATGGAGTCTGAGTTTCAGTGAGACAGGGATAAAAAAAAAAAATCCAGCTAAGTCCAGTGAGGCAGGAAAAATCACTGAGCCTGACCTGCCTTTGGCTTGAGGCTGCACTACAGAAACCTGCCCTGTTTCATCAGCCAAATTCCACTGTCACACAAAGAACTGTCCCCATCTGGAGTAACTTCCGGAATTAAGGGGACACTGTAAGAGATTAAGTGATAAAACACCACCACACTAATCTATTCTGACCTCCTGCAAGCACCATACAACGTTTCTAAATTAATTCCAATTAAAACTAGTAACAACCTTCAAGTTTTTTCATCTCCTGTGATGGAAATCTTATCCTTTGTTTATTTACAAGGCACTTCTCCAAGGCTTCAGTCACACCTTCCAAACTGCACCACAGGTACTGAGGGAGAAACGCAGGTTCAAAGCTTAAGGGCTTCATCAAGTATCTGGTCCTGTTCCTCCATGGAAAAATGCTTGTTATTTAAGAAGATCCACTGCTCTCTCCCAGGTGATAAAACAGCCTGTGTGAGACCCTGAATGGAACAGTCAGACCTGCTCAAATGAGGCTTCTGATCCAGAAAGGAGGTGAGAGCTCAGCTGTCAATCTCCAGCTAAGAACCGTCACGTGTAATAACTGAATTCTTCCCTTTCTGAAATCCTACTGCAAGTTCCTGCCCAGACAGATGTCTGCAGTCACTAACTACTGCTAGTTAAAGCATAAATCTTCTTGCTACAGCTTCAGAAAACATGTAAACAAGTGCTTAAAAATCTATTTTAATGACGTTTTCAAGAATAATAATACTCTGCATTACAAAAGAAAGAGGTAAAAGGTACATCTTTTACATATCAGAAAAACTTACAGCAAAGGCAAAGAATATCTTAAAACCAAAATAAAGCTATGTTGTTCCCTACAGGGAAGCTTCAGGTGTCTGAGATTCCTTCACCTCATTCATTTTCAGCCTTCACAGAAAAAGGTGAGCAGTCGAAATAGTCCCTCTCCCACGTCAGCTTTAAACATCCCCCTGACCATCGACAATTTAGCAATAAAATTACAAATATACAGGAAATGGATCGGCTACTGCACCAAAGCTACACACACACCCAACAGCAAAAATACATAAAATACGCAGAAATTAAGTGTTTTCATTCATTAATGCAGAATTACTTCCACATTCCACTCTGTCCCAAAACCAGCATTCAACACGGTGAGCAAAGAGGAAGACAACTGTTGTCATACTCCACAGAGCAGGCAGAAGACAAATCTCCACAAGACTCACAGATTTGGACAAACCCTAGCTCTACAAATCATTTGCTGTGCAATCACAGTCCATACATGAAAACATGTACAGTCAACAACAGCAGGCAGGAACAAGGGATGCTGATGAAGGGCCGAGCCCCAGCCCTGTACCCAGCCCAAGGCCATGCCCCGTTCCTGACACCACAGCGCTCCGTAGGATCTGCACAAAAGGCCAAAAGGGATCACCAGAAGTGTTTTCCAGCCAGGAGGACAGGACAGGAGGGACACAATGCCATTGCACTCGCTGCAGTGTCAGGTGTCAGCATCACAGACACAGAATGCTACAAACACTCCCTGCATGCACAGCCCCCAGACCTCATCGCTCAGGGATCAAAGCAGCGCATCCCTCAGGATGGAACGTGGTTCTATTTACATCAGCTCCGACAGGAAAGGGCACGTTAAATCGTGGCCCAATCACCAGTGTGAAATTGCATCTCTAAATAATTTAAACCCTCCAAACAGAGTTTCTCGCTACAAATCCTTCATTTCAGTGAAGCAGTTTGTAAACTCCGAGGATGTACATGGCTCCAACCTACAGCCTGAGCAGGAAGTAGATCTCGGGCTGGTCCTCGGGGCTGGGCTCCACGGAGTCGTGCTGGTAGAACCGGTCTGTGCAGCCGAGGTGCAGGGCCGAGCACGAGCCCTCGGGGACGCCCCGGCCCTCCACGGGTTCCCCGGGGAAGCTGCCGAGGTACCTGGCGATGTAGGAGCCCGTGGAGTGCCTGTTGGCCACGTGTGGGGACGCCGAGGGCCTGTTCCTCAGCACCACCCCGGCCACGGCGCCCGTGCCGGGGGGTTTGTGCCTGCCGGCCTCCTGCCTCTCCCGGGCACGGCTGGCGATGTTCCGCACGCGGCTCTGGCTCCGCGAGGACAGTTTCCTGACCAGGGCCCGGGGGCAGTCGTGCTCCGGCTGCCCGGGGCAGTGCCGGGGCTCCTCCTGCTCCGGGCACAGCAGCTTGCGCAGCTGCTCCGTCAGGGCGTCGGCCGAGCGCGGCCGCAGGCCCCTCATGGCAGCCAGCTTCTTGTCCCGCATGCCCGAGGAGACGAAGCTCCTGCTGATGTACTGGTACTTACTCTCGAAGTTGCAGGAGATGTCCTCCGATGTCAGGTCTCCCAGACTCTTGGACTTGCAGGGGCTGCTCTGCTGGATGGCCGGGTGAGGGGGGAAAGGCAGAGCGCTCGGGAGCAGCGAGGGGGCTGCCCTGAGCTGGGACCCCTCACACGTTACACTGGGCTGCTCATGGGAGCGATGGGCACACGAACCCCCGGAATTTGCACACGTGGGAAAAGGGAGCTGGCTCCCTGCAGTCCTGAGGGTGCCCGAGCAGGCGTGGGCAGCAGCACAGAGCCCAACAGTCGTGCTGCTCCCAGAGGTCCTCTCACCACCGTGCCCAGTGTCCTGCTTCTGCCTCAGTCTCAAAGGAGAAGCCAGCTGGCTCATGTCCTCCCTTTTGTACTCGCAGGCAGTTACCAGGAGATCCTGGGAGTCCCCATCGACTTCCACGAGGCTGCTGCTGTCTGAGTTCTGACCAGGGACAGGGTCAAACAGGGCCTCCTCAAAGATGAGGTTATTGGAAGCAAAAGAACTGGCAGACCCAGGGCCTTCCCAGCTCAGTCCAGATTTTGTTCCACAATTTCTTTCGGGATTTGCATTTAGCAAAGAAAGAGGTGAAGAACATGGAGAGCCAGACAAGTTACTTTCTAGACTATTTAATTTTTTCATGGAAACTAATTGCCTGTGGGTCTTACATTCAGAAGCTGGAGTTGCCCCCTGGATAGTTGTGTACATGGAATACTCTGCGGTCTCTGGGCTGGAGAACGTGGTGGTATTTGGAGTGGAGAATAAAGGGGATTTGGTGGATTTTGTGGGAGGGAAGTTGTGCTTACAGGGGCTGCTTAGACCCACAGTAAAGCCCTGTGGGTGTGCAGCCACCACACCAAAGGTCTGGCTGCTGCTGCCGTGGCTTGAGACGGCGGTGAGGTGTGTTTGGTCCCCTGTGACATCCACCTGCCCGATGAGAGCAGACACAGTGCTGTCCAGCTCGCTCTCAGTAGCCAGAGAAACCTCATCTATGAGGCGAGAAATGTCACTGTCCTGCAGGGCCAGCGTGGAGTGCAAGTCAGGGCTGTCAGAGCCAGGGGGAGAAGGAATGTCAGTCAAAGAAAGAGGTGCTGCAGTGCTTTTCTTGAGGTCAGATTTGTGATTCTCCATATCTGCTTTTTGAGAAAAAGAAGCCCCCACCAGAGTGACTTTCCCCTCATCAGATCCCTTTGTGTCATCTTCCTCTTTATTGTCCACACAGTTTTTGTCTTGTGGTTTTCCTGTGCAAAGCTCAGAGTCCTGCATTGGTGGGACAGTTTCACCAGAAAGATTATTTTCCTGACAGTCCAAGAGGTGATTTGTTTCAGTTGCACCACTTGCAAAAACTAAGTGTTCAGGTTGCTCCTGAGGAGGTGGTAGCAAAGAGTCAGCTGTAGAATCCTTCTGGTCATTCTCCTTCTTGCATTGAGATCCCAAATTTGAAGTATTTGCCGTTTGCTCCGAACATGGAAAAACAGATTCTTTCAAGTTTGTTTCCTTCTCATTTGTATTGTCATCACTGTTGGCTAAATTAAAGAAGAAACATATTAGTTGCATACAAGACTCTGTTCTGTCTATCAACAACTCTTTTGTCCTCAGACAGACAAATGGAGCACGCAAAATTAGGTACAGTTGTGACAGAACTTAATCATGGAGTTGTGCAGGTTTAGTACAAATTATCTGAGTGATATGAACAAATGGAAAAATACAACTGCAAGCACTTCATTGAAACTTCCTGGAAAATGTCTATTACATCAGGCAGGTGATGTAATATTCGTTGTAAGTAATGTTAATGAGGTACCATAGCATGGCTTGCACGTGGCATTACCTTCAGCTGTGTTCCTAGTCAGATTTGTACTACAAAGAAGCGTGGCAATAAAGACAGAACAAAACAGCTCTGTTAAAACACACAACACTTGGAAACAAGATGCATGCTTCAAGCTGAGTAAAAAGCATCAAGTAGATGGACTCCAGGCATGTGGTTATTGCAAAGTGTTACAGTTTAAGGATTTCATTTTGATATTCCACCAGCATGCTGCATTCACAAGAGCAAGGGGTTGAATTCCTTAAAAAACACACATTAGATGTTTTCTCCACCAAATCCTCTTACTCATCTTTATGTGCCAAATCTGAGCTCCATGACTCACTGCTTTGGAGATTTAATTAAGCAGGGACTATAGGAGAAGCTTGGTTTAGTATATGCTGGGTTTAATGTTTGCTAGACATCGGGTACCCTTGGAAGCAGCAAGGGGAGAATCATCCACTGACAGTGACTGAGCCCCCTCAATGGAGTAGGAACTGCTTCTAGTCAACGTGGCATTAAATGCCCATCTCCAAAATCTGAAAACTTCCCAAGCTTTCCAGTGCTCCCAGACTAGGATTGAAGAGATGCACATTTCTTTGATTTGTAGATTTACTTTTTCTACAAAGAATGTAGGAGAAAATGGATAGCACACTGTCCTCTTGGCACAATTTCAGTGGAGCAGTAGAGATATGCTCAGCCACAGCATTTTAGCAGGACAGGTCTCTGTGAGACAGCCTCTTCAACAGGGTTAAGGAGCAAGCCTTTTGCAGACTCTAAAGGACAGGATCCATCTCTCTCACAGTTAGAAGGGGCAGGATTCATCCCCTGTGACAGGCTTCTAGTGTTTCTTGTGTCTTTGTCTGGAGCACCTTGAGGAAGAGATGCCTAAGAAATTATTGCATCTGTTGCAAGGAATGGCTGAGCTGTATCATCCTCACAGGCTTACCTAGAGGATCTTTCAATTTAAACCACAGCATTTCAGTTATCTGCCTGTACTAGAACATCCTTTTTCCTGCCTACAGTTTCTTCTCACGGTGGTAGAGAAAGCCCTGGGTTGACTTTGCTCACTGTTCCTCCTGAGGAGCTTCTTTTACAAGTGCTGTGCAGATTAGCTGCTCCTTCAAAGCCACTAATGTGGGGCCAGCAGCACAAAGGTGGCTGATCACCACGTCCTGTCAGGGCCAGGTAGTTATATTGCAGTGGCTCCTGCAGCTGCTGGAAGTGGCTGCTCTGCAGCTGAAATGATTTGGAGTAGAGCAGCATTTCTGTCACCCCCTGGCCAAGAGAGGCTCTCAGGGTGCTCTCTGCCTCTCACCAGGGCAGAGAGACAGTGGTGCTGGCTGTGCTGCTCCACCTATCCCCTGGGACTATCCCTCAAAGCTGGGGCCAGCCCAAATGTGAGGATCTGGGGACAGCCTCTGGAAGTGCACACGCTCTTCCCAAATAAACCAAAACCAGCCCCAAAAAGCAGTACTGACACCCCAGACGAGGGACCAGCTCAGGGTGGAGACAGCAGGTCTAATGAATCAAAGCCATTGTACTCAAAGCTCCCTAGACTATTTAAGTTTTCCAGCAAATCAAATATTAGGCAGGTCCAACACACTAACTTTACTGCAGTCATGGGAATAACTGGATTTCAAAACCAGGGTCTATCCTAGATTTCAAACCAGACTATTACTGCTGAACACACTGAGAAAACTGTGTGTTTTACAGCTATTTTCAGAGTGAAATTGTATTGTGTATCAATTACATAAGACCCAGATTTTATCCTAACACATATTTGCCATATAAATTGATCAGTCAGTGACCTAGGGTAAGAGCCAAATATCAAGCCTGTTGGATACAAAGTTTGACCTACTTTTACCCCTTTTACATCTGTTTGAAAGTCTTTAGGGACACTATCACCAAAAACATATGTTGCATGCAGCTCTTCCTCCTGAGAAACAGGGAGAGGAACCCCCCCCTGCCAGCAGCTCTGTCTCCACAAGTAAATGGAGAGCAGGAAACCAGGAACTGATAAAGTGCAATGGAAGGTTGGTTCTTAAATTACACAGAAATTTGGCAAGTGTCCTTATAAGAGCACTTCCAGGAATTACTGTAATTCATCTGCCCAGTTTGCAGGGCAGACAGCTTTCCAGGGTGCCACTTATTTAAGGAGCTGATAAAATCCTACCCACTTCAGCCCACGTAACTCTGTGCAGTAACTCTGGTTTGAGCTGAATAAAACTACTCACACAGAGGCTAATCTTTTCAACAGGCTATTTCAACTCACTGTATCAGAAGTACTTTTGGAAGCATCTTACCAGAGGTGTTTTCCTTCCCCGTGGCATCCTGGGCAGCATCCTCAGGCGGGCAGGGCAGTCCCACCAGCAGGTACTTGTCCACGGGCATGGAAGCAGGACGCGCCTGCAGACTCCGTTTCGGGCGCCGAACGACCCCTTCCTTGTCCTTCAGGTCTGTGGGTTCAGATGCACTGTCCCTCATCTCAGCAGCCTCCAGGAAGCCCATCTTGCTCTTCTTCCTGCCCTTGGCGGGCGCGCTGGCCGTGCGCCTCAGCAGCCGCTCGCCCAGGGATCTCTTGCGCACGTAGTTCCCGCCGGCCTCGGCACAGCCCTGCTTGGGGTTCTTGTTGAACAGCCCCCGCAGCCCTATCAGCTGCTTGCTCTGAAAGGACAAGGAGAGCCACGGTTTGGGCTGAGCTTAGACTCAGTTAGGATGAGTACGAGGGAAAGAGCTGCTTCCAGAGCGTTTGTGAACGATGGAGACAAAGATCAGAACTCAGCAAAGCAAAAATCCACACCAAGCCACTCACAACCGCTCTGAGCGAGGAGCTCTCAGCTCAGGTCTCCACGGATTCATGCATGTCTGTGTTTCTCCTCATTAGGATGGCAGCCTGCCACAGTCAGAGCAGAGGTTTGCTCCAAGGCTGTGAGAAGTGTCTGCAGTGACAGGCTGCACACTAACAGGGAGTTTTCTAGGCATGGCCTTCGCCAAAGCAATACCCAGATGTCTCAGAGCCTGGATGGAGAATGATGCAAGTTTGGCAGCTGCAGATCATGCGACTGGGAAGCACTGAAAAGCTGTGCCCAAAGTGCAAAGGACATGCTCGTGAGCTCTACCTTGGTGGCTCCTAGAAAGTGCAATATTGTGTAACTGGGGTTGAGGATTAAAGGGCTCCACTGAAAGGCAAAAAAAATGCAAATCCATTTGGCTCATGTTCTCAAGACTGCTACACAAGCAAATAAGGTTAATACACAGCAAAGCATTTAAAAAACTATTAGTCTAACGTAAGTGTCTCCCAGAAACTTGGCCAGATCTCCTCACTCACATGGATGCAAACATGCATTCAGCTTACTAGAAACAATAATATCATTGCCCATCACCCAGGCAAGCATTAGATGAGCAGACTAAGTGATAGAGATCAAATCCCAGTGAGTCTCCCCCCTCCTTCTCTTGCCTTCCCTCTGCAGCTGCTCTCTACTGGTTTTATTGAACATATTTCTCCTTTGAAGAGCACATCAGCCAAGAGCAGCAGCCAAACACTCCTGCAAACCATCACCAGAGCTGGATGTGGTTTCACAGATGCCCCCAGACGTGCACACATCTGGGTATACACTGCAGATGTATCCAAGCTGTGATCCTGTTCACTGGTCTAATGGGATCAGGGAGGATAAAGGTATGGATTTCAGTGAGGATCTGGAATACACCAAATCTCAGCCCTGGGTCTTAATGGTATTTTTTTAAATCTCTGTTCCTCTGAGCTTTCCTTAGGTGCTGCACAACCTGTTTGTCATGACATTCTTTGCATCCTCTCTCAGAAGGGACATAGACTGAGGGCCAATCTCTGCAACATACACTCTTCATAAAGGTCAGGTTTTTGGTTGTGCTTTTTTCCCTGTTCATCTTTGCTTCCTAAATCACTGGAAAAGTGCTGTTTTACTTCAGCACCCTGCTGAACATAGCCATAGTTCCTTTGTGCTGTTTATCTCCAATGACTGCCTGTAAACAGCTCAGAAAGGCAGCAGAAGCAAAATGCAGGCAAAAACCACAGTGCTTTTACTTTCATTTTAAAAATGGTTCAAAATTAGCAGAAAAGCAAAATGTATGCACTGAAACCTAAAATTAAATTAGGTTAATTTAAATTAATTAAATTGGCTGCTAAAAATAGCTTGTCAAAGACCATGTTCTGGTGCAATTACAGTTCTCAAGATTTACTTCTAAAACAAAATCAGTTCAACACACTCAAGAAATGTGCTTCCTGTATGCAGACATGCTAATTAGTAGGTGCTGACAGCAAGAACATCTAAGTATGTGAGCACTAAGAGTAGTATGTTGTGGGTTCCCTGCTGATCTCCTGCAAGGATCCCCCACCACTCTGAGCCTCATCCTTCTGCCTCCTGAGCCCTCCAACACAGATCCTGTGAGGTTCTGTGCTGTATTTAAAACCATTTTTAGCAGAGGGAAGATGTACATTTCCAGCTATACCCACCTTTCCATAGGTCTCATTAATGATTATATGAACAAATATGGATGCTTCTGTCAGTCCTTCTAAATACACGTGGCGATAGCCTGGTGAAACAGAAACAGAAATGTTTGCACACAAATAACCCCAAAGAACCAGCAGTTTGCATTCTGTGCACACCTGGCAATGACTGTCTGTAGAAGGGATGTATGTACCGTAAGCCACCTTCAGTAAACTCCTTATGTTCCCACAGGTTTCTCCAAAACCCCAGTACAAATTGCATCAAAGTTATAAAAGACACCAGTAGTAATTTCCAAAAGCACAGATGACCAAACTCCTTCAAGTGTTGGTGAATAACCCACCCTAAGATAACAGGAGAGCTGTCCAAGAATTCACAGAGATACGAGCATGTATCACCTCATGCTGGTAACCCCATCTTTAGGCCCAAGCTGTTTGTTCCTCAGCTGGATTCCCAGCTCAGGGAGAAGCAGTGGGACTCACCAGGCACAAGGCTGCTGAAGGCCACAGTTCTCTGCCCCACGAAGTCCCTCCCGATGGGATCGTGGTCCCAGACGAGGAATCGCACCAAGGCTATTTCGGGCATGTGGATGGTAAAGGTGAGAGTTTCCTCCCACACAGGATTGAACCCTGTGAAACAAACAGCACACAGAGCTTGGGAAACCAGTCCAGAGCAAGTGATATCCTCAATTTTCACGATGAATAGCAAGAGGAAAGAAGCTGCAACACAAATTACTCTTTGCTCATCTAGATCTGGGCACTCTTGATCTCCATCATGTCAGTCATTAAATGTGAGATTTGTCTCTTAGACTGCTTTAAAAACAAAATGGTTCTGCCTGAGCAACTGGCAGGGATATCACAGCAAGGTGTTGTCCTGCAGAACTGAGATGTACAGATAGATATTTGAACTTCTGCATAGAGGAGATTTAAGAACAATCCAGGAGAAAGACAATGAGGTGAAGAGCCCTTCCCTTCAGCTCTAGCTTGGCTGTCTCCCCACACCAGAAATTCTATCTATAAAGCAGAATTAATTTGTTAAAACATAATCATTTGATTTCCCCAGATAAGAAGCTTTGTCATTTAGAAAGTAATAACAGACTCTGTATCATTTATAATTACTTTATATTTTACTCTAAGAAGAAGAAATCACTTAGATTATCTTACCATTGTCGTCCACCACCCTGGTCTGATCTTTACAGCAGTCAACAGGTAACCCAATGATTTCCACCTCAACAAAGGGATCTATTATCTATTTGTTAAAAACAAAATATTTTAAAAGCAAGCTAATGATACAGGTGAAGGTCAACTTTTAACAAATTCATGCAAAGAGTTGATTTAAATTCACATGAGAATTCAAAACTCTTCGATTGACACAAATTTTCTGGCAGCACTATCATGGGAAATGGTTTCATGAAGTCCAAGCTGATGTATGGTTTGTAGTCTCCAGAGCTATGGCCATCTATGACTGATTTGCAGACCAGTAAAGTCACCCTTAATACAAAAAAACTGGTTCTTAAGCAACATGTGTAGGATACAGACTGGGGGAAAATGTAGTATCTAGTGACCAAAAGCTTGATAATATCTGAACTTTACAGGTGTATTTAAATAAGGAGAAAGTTTTTGGGCCATGTGCTGCCCTGTCACTGCAGGAGCTCTCGTGATCAGTCTCTCACCTCTCCTCGGTCCCCTAACATCGAGTCAGGAGGCTTGGGGAGCTGCTGTCCACTGATGATTTTCAGAATAAGCTGCTTTTTAGGACTGGCAGGAAGTGGATCAGCAGAGTAGGGGTTGAATGTGCCTAAAAGATGGGAAGAATGAGAAGGGTAAGGAAAGAGATCCACAGAATAAGTATCACCCCAAGATGCACATACAGAGCCAGAGTTCAGTCAGAAGTAACAAACAGAGTATGGGGCAGCTGCCATTAATTTTGAAACTCTCTTCTATGAATGCATGGAAACATGAAAGATTCTATTTTTGGGTTTGCTTTCCTTTCTTATGCCTTCCAAACATCACTGTGAAGACACTCTGTGAAAGGCCTGACAGTTACAGTAATAACTATACGGCAGGACATTACCTTTGCACATCTGCTGAGGTTTGAGGACATAACCACAGTTGCCATTTACCCTGAATTTTGCTTCATTTAACTGCATCACACGTCCCTCAGACTGGTAGTTCAGGGCCACTGAAGGAGAAAAGTCAGGTGTCATTGATCAGGATAATATTCCTCAGCACATGCACAAGAAACGGGAAGCAAGGTTTTCCTGGCACACGTACCCAGCTGGCACCCAACGTTCCAGTAAGGGACGGGGTTGAAGTTGCTGGAGTCGATCCTGTAGGCTGAGGGATAGACCCTGCTCAGCTGCTTCTGGTTGTAAAGCATGAACTGCTCAGCCTTCTGCTGCACGGCCTGGTGGGCTCTGGTCTCACTGAACGACAGCACATTCCCTGTGGACCCTGTGTCATGGTCAGACAACAAACAGGTGACACAGCAATCCCACGTGGGGCTGAGCACAGACCTCACTACACTGGTGTTAATCCAGGGAAACGTGAGGTTTACTCCAGAGTTACAAGGATAGATTGTCCTGTGTTACCCAAATCATGCACCTTGTGTAACTGAAGGGCACCAGCTTCCCCTTCCAGGAGGGTCTTATGTTCTACCCTCAAGTTTTCACACTTGAAAGCCAAACCAAGCAAGAGCTTCAGCTGATTGCTGGGGCCTTTTCTCCTGCAGAACTCCAGACATGACCACTCTGGAGAATCTACAGAGAAATCTACTGCTGGCAGTGTGACCAAAGCATTCACTGCTGGGGAAGGAGTGCCCAGCTGGGCTCTGGTTCTGCTCTAGTCCCTGTGACCCACTAACAGCAGCACTCAGCCCTTTCCCTCTCCCAGGTGACCAAGGCCTGTGCAGGCCCTGTGCAGCCCCTGTACCATCATCCACGATGTCCTGGGCAGCCACAGAGTTGGTGTAAACCACGAGGTCAGACAGAGCCCGGCACAGCTTCACCGTCTTCCTCCGGCGGGCCAGTCTGAGGGGAGCACGTACAGAAAAACAGCAGATTTCAGTATTTAAGGCATATTTCAATCCCCCTTTCTGTTCTCTTCAATCTCCCTTTCTGTTCTTTTCATCAGTAAGGAAACAACCAAGTGTGAGCAGGGAGCTGTGTGCAGCAAACCTCCTCAGAGAGAGCTCTGGGATGATGTTCCCCTGCACCTCCACAGTCTCACTACACACAAAATTTTCATTTAAAACATCATGAAATAGCTGCACCATGGCTCTCCCAGACAAAACCAAGGAGCATTTCCATGACAGCAAATGCATTCTCAGTGGCACTGTTGTGATTGCTTTTCCTTTACACTCTCCCATGCAGTGCAGCTGCCCAGGCTGGGATGCACCCAATTGAACCTGCACTGTTTGCTCTGAGCACTGTTCACAGCAGGCAAAATGGGGCTTGGCACCTTTCCATCAGCACAGTGTTGCAGCCACACTTCACTTTAAGGGTAATTGCTGTTTGCAATCTGTGACAACCAACGCAATCAAAACACCCCCCAGCTGTGTCATATGTGACACACGTGTCATACGTGTGCTCTCGGGCACAGACTTCACCGAGGCAATGCCATGGAATTGTGGATGGCAGCGAACAAGCCTCTGGCTTCACCTGAGCTGCACAACTGTGGGGATTCCCAGCTCACCTGTGGGGATGCCCTGGTTCCCTCCCAGGAGGGTTCTGCTGGCTCTCGTCCTCATCTGATGCACTGGGGTGTTTGGCTGCTGCCTTGGCAGCTTTCTGTGGGGAAGAATCAAGCAGGGCTGGGTCAGTCCCTGGGGTGGCTCCAGAAATCCTCATTGCTGTGGTTGAGCTCAGGGAGGTGGGGGAGCTGCAGGGCTGCAGCTCAGGACCAGTGTCCTGCCCAGACACCGAGTGACCCAGGGGCTCTGACAGCAGAAGCCCTGCTGCTAGTCCAAGGGTTCCATGAAGGAAAGCCAGCACAGAGCACCCGTGCCCTGATCTCCCTCCCTCCCACAGCCAGGATCCAGCCCTGCAGCCATGGAGCAGGTTTAGCTGCTGGTGAGCAGAGCCAGGCCTAAGGAAATTATTTGTGCCAGTGCTCAGCCTGTCCCAACCCACTGTGTGCTATGCTCCCTCTCCACTCCCTCCTGGTACCAGCACAAGGGTGCTCCCCTGCTCCAGGACCCTGGGCACTGCTCCTGCTGCAATCCTAATGGATGGGGCAGAATTTTCAAACATCATCTTTCCGCTCCCTTTTCAGCCACATACAAACACTGAAGTTATTCTATATTGTTACAGTTGTGCAGTAAAGAAAACAGCTTTGATAAAAAGATTAAAACCTAAAAATCACCATTTTTTTCATAAGCACCCAGGATTTAATAGTTTCCAATTTCAACAACGTTATAGTTCTGGTAACAGTAACCACAGCTTCTTGTGAGAGTAATTTAATTCCCTTTTCATCATGAGGTAATTAACAATATAACTGAGAGCTCCTTATCCTTTTACTCATATGGCTCACTGAGCACAGATTTCTTTCCTCCTGTTGTGATACCCCAATACTGAATATAATTTAGTTTGCTGTGTTTAGTGCTGACATAAAGTTGATTACAATGGAAATCATTTGCATGGTTCAGTTTTGGAATCCGAAGGCCTGCACTGAGGGTGTTCCCTGCAGTTAACTTTCACAAATTTCCAGCTTTAGTGTCTTTGTCCCTCCACTGGCAATTTAAAGAGTTTATCCACTTGGCACAAGAGCTGCCTGAAAACACGACATGTCAATATTGCTGGGTGGATAATTCTGTATCTGCAAAAATATCAATAGGAACCTGTCTTCCCCTTCAGCTGGAAAGGCACTGGAGGTCCTTGTTGCCTCAGTCTACAATACAATCACTATTTAAAAAAAAAAAATCTATATCTATCCTTATTCTTTCAGCAGAGATGAAATGAATGGGCTTTCTACCATGCTGTATCCATTAGAATAACTAGCTGAAGTAATTAAATTATTGACATACTTTCCAGCCCTCAGCATAACCAGCAGATTTCAGTGGCTGACTTTTGCCTGTGACATCCCATTCCACACACTTGTCTGGCCAGCAGGGAGCACAGGGGGTGATGTGAAGTGTCCACTGTCAGGCACAACAGGTACTTCCAGACCTCCACACCCCCCGAGTAACGTGCACTGAGCCAAAGGTGCTGAAGGGCATCTGAGCACCTTAAACTGATGGGAGCTTGGAACTGCAGGGTAAATATGAGCCCTGAGACTGCCTGCTTAGGTATTTTTTGATGGCTCCTAGCTGCCTTCAGAGCAGATAGACTGGTGGCCGATTAAGTTCTATGAAACATTTCTTAATTGTTGTTTTTCCTAAACCACTGCTCAGATTCTCAGTCCCAGAGCGTGTTCCCTGCTTGGTGCAGCTCTCACCATGGATGGCATGGACCAGGAACACCAGCATCTGGTAAGCTGGGGGCAGAGGGGGCTGCAGACCTGCCACATGCCCCTCTGCTCATTTACTGACTTTCTATCTGCTGATTGACTCCAGGAGGAAGGAAGCTTTCAGCTGGATCAGTTCACATTGAGGATATAAATCCAGGCCTTGAGGCACTGTGGGAATGTGGGAATAGGGGAGGTGGATGACAGGACATGGGAATGGGAGGACACATGGGAGCACCGTCCCTTTTGATGGCTGCTCTGCCCAGCTGTAAAATGAGACCTCCCACTCATCTGGACTCCACCAGCTCTTGCCCCAGCGAAGGGCAGCGGAGCAGGGAGTGTGAGCTGGCAGCTCCACAAACACAAATGGGATAAGCAAAGCCAGGAGGAGATCAGCAAAGACACGTTTGTGCAGAGCAGGAGCCCAGAGGCAGCACTTGGTCACAGCAGCCCCCTGAGCAGGCACAGACAGTGCCAGCACATCCTGGTTGGCACTGCCCAGGGTGGGACAGGCAAAGCTGGGCCCTGAGTGAGCCAGGCATTGTCAGCTGTGTGGAAAACAAGAATATGCCAAGACATTAGTCTGTGTTGCTCTTCTGCTGCTGCAATTTCAATCAGAAAATCAGCAACTCCACCTCACTAGTAAAGATGATCTTTTAGTCACACAAGATTCTTTTTATTCTTTTTAAAGGTTCTCCATCCTGCTGGCAGTTCATATGCCCCTGAACAGAGGTGAAGACCCTAAGTGTAATCACACAGGTTTCCCTTACTGCCCCCAGACCCACCTCTTCTCAAACAGTAAAACATTCCCAGGGTCTCTGGAATGCCCCAGGCCCAGCACAGCACACAGAGCCTCTCACTTTACTCACCTTGTGTTTACCGAAGTTGCCCATTAATGATCGACCGTGAGACTTTTTTCCACCCTCTTTTGTGTCCAGGTTCTGTGCAGAGAAAGTGCAATAAAAAGTGTAACTAAATACCTTCAGAAATCTCTTAAGGAATCTGCTCCAGTCTCTAAAAGGCATCATTTCAATATAATACAAGTTTTTCCTATGTCAGCCTCATTCACTATTAGAGGAGTACAGTGATTGCACGTGAGAGAATAAAAGGGAGTTAAAGTCTGATCTGTGAACACAAATTGAAACCCAAAATCTCATTGCAGGACCTTTCTAATTTCTTTATGTACTTGATGGCTTAGATTCCTCTAACAGTAAAGAATAAAATATTCATGTTAACACTCAAGACAACAACAACCCAGGTAGAAAAAGCAGTCCAGCAAAACCAGGCGAGCAACAACAAACCACGTTTGAGTGCTCTTGAAAACAGCCACAAAGGAAAAGGGGGGGGAAATAATCTCTCAACAGATAAGAATGGACTTTTCACAGGCAGCCTGGAGTCTGAGTTTCACATTCCCAGCCATGCCCCCAGACATCAGCTGGATAACTCCTGGCAGCATCTCGCTTTTTCTGTCAGAAAACACAGCCCTTCATCTTCTGAAGAGCAAAACAAAGCTGAAGAATATTCCCCCAGCATTTCACAAGTTCTATGAGCTCCAGCTATCCCCTGTTCAGTGCTGAGCTGGATTCACTTCTGGCTATCAGAGCAGTCTGGGCACTGCAGGGTTCATTCGGGTCCAGGAGAGTTGATAACCCCTGCGGCTCCGCTCACAGATTTGTTCCAGCTCAGGCTGGAATTCTCTGTAAGACGGAGAAAGAAACTTCAGCAGAATTTTATTTTTTTAATAGCAAATCTTTGGGGAAATGAAAGGCAGATCAGTAATGAAGTAAAGGAAAATGACCAGTAAAAAATCCCAACGGAAAATATCCCAACGGATCCCCTTCTGATTCATCAATCACACAGGAACTACCAGAACAGAGCCTCACACCACCAGCACACACAGCCAGCCAACAAGTTACAGAGTCACCAAACCAGCATGATGTTTACCCAAGCCTGGGTTCAGGGGAGTCTCACAGGTCCAGCTTTGGAGAGAGATTGGCAGGAAATACTTAAGGCCCCAGAGTGGAAAAAGCAGAGTTACATGTACTCGACCTTTACGACTCCACTGGTCAGAGCAGGCACATCTCCCCAGAAAACTCTGCATTAACATCACTGGGATTTGCATCCAGTGATGGGTAAGGTGAAAGTGTGGTCACCACGGACTCAAGGTAGTAACTCTTGATATACTCAAAATTCTGATGCATTTTACTGTTTTACAAGACTAGTTGGATGTCAAAAGTGCAAAGAAATGTACCATTCTTATGTAGAGCACTCTGAAAAATCAGTTATAAAAAACCAGAACCTTGCTCAGGGCAGGAAAAGCACAGTCCTGTGGTTTAGTGCTGTAGAAAACAGCCACCAGTGTTACAGGCAGAAGTGCTTGCAGTCACTGTGGCCCATCGTGACAGGACTAAGGTGACAGAAAAGGGATCTTTCCCCAATAACCCAGGCACAAACCAAACTGCTTGACACACACCTGCAATATCAGTACTTACTGAATTAGTGTGTTCCAAGTTTTGCAAGGAATAAACCAGATTAGAACACACTGAACCAACATACTCTCCACATTGAACCAGATGAATTCTCTCCTTAGATATTTTCCTGAAATAGTTCCAAGGTTTCATTTTGGATCAAACCAGCCCTCAGAAGCTGTTCCTAAGTTTCCAGCTTTCTCATCTGCAATAGTGTGCAACACATGGCACTGTCTAATGTTGAGCAGAGGAGGTGAAGGGGAGCCCCACGTACCTGCTTCAGGTTAACGTTGAGACTCTGGTGCGTCGCCTTCAGCAGGGCCCTCACAGTGAAGCTGTCAGGATCTTCCTTGTCCCTGATTTGGGATTCTTTTAACAGAGATTCCAGTTTTGTCCTTATGAAAGATTCCACCTGGTGCTCAGTTGCACCATTACTCTGAAAGGCATCCAAGGAACCCAGTTAAAGTGGATGGTTCTGCCCCTCACAGTGGGACAGCCCGAGGGAGCGTCACACGCACTTCAGTCTCACGGTGCTCCCAACACTTCCTCTCTCTGTGCAAGAAAAGGCTTCCTGCATAACCCTGCCTTTTCTGCTGGTGGTTTTTAGTGCCATTTCCCTTTTCCTTTCCTCTCCAGCCCCCCTGACACAGCTCACACTGCCCCCCAAAGTACAGTCCCCGGGACCCGGCCCTGAGCCACTCTTGGTTTCACAAGTTTCACAAGCCTGACCTTCTCTTTCAGAAGAGCAGGAATTCTCAGGTAATGCACTTACACACTTCCTTCAACATATCAGGCAAACTAATCATTAGGTTCCTGCTCCAAACAATAAGGTAAGGAAGGAATTCCTGTTAACAACACTCAGACTATACAGACTCAAAGCACTCTCTTATATAAGGCACTTAAAAATGGATCCTATAGAACAGCATGAACCTGACCTAGGAATCAAACCCTTAGAAATTCAAGACTCTAATCTGCTGAGGACTGGAAATAGGACAGGGACAGTGCATGAAGGAAATGCAGAGCTGGGCACTGACTGTGTGCACATACATAGCAGGCCTTTAACTTGCAGTCATCCTCGATTTCATCAGCACTGTCCTCTTCTGAAACCTCTCCTTCCTCAGCGTCTGCTCCCAGGCTGCAGGGCAACTTCTTCCCCTGAAACAAGGCAAAACCATGCACAATAAATGCACCTGTGGTCAGTGGTATTTAGTGCAAAGACCAAAACTGCCCATTCCTCAACTATTTCTTATGTAAATTGAGACCAGCATTTAGAAATCATTCTCAGAGTCTCATGCAAACTGGTTCAAGGACCCAGATTATCACAGCCAATATTTTAAGTATTTCTGGAAGAGTTTGTTACTGGAACTGTTATTAGAATCACTCTTTGTATACACTAGCAAGATGAAAATTACACCACTGCTTAAAATTGTTTGGCTAATGAATCAATACTGTCTTTCAAAGGAAAATGTATAAAAAGAACAAAAATAATAGCAAAAAGATGAGAAATTGGCTTGCTTCTCAACAAGATACTGATTCCTAAATCTCATTTTATCTTTTCCAATAAGGCTTCTTAAATTGAGCAGGACATAGGAGGCAGAGTTTTGTGCAAAGATACTGTGATGCTTGAAACAGAATTTCTCATTCTGAAAACAGCTCAGCTCCCCTCCAGTCTGTACTGACCCCCAGGGCTTCAGCACAGAGAGCTGAAGGATCCCACTGAAACTACAATCCCAAATGGGCCTGGAAAACCAGCTCAGAAGTTCAGGTAAGAACAGCAGAGCACCAAAACTGTCCTGCCTTTGGTGCACTGACGGTATTTCAGGCCAGGTTTGCTGGGTTTGTAGCATGACTGACATTCCACACCACTCCACCTGGATCCCTGGAACACCAGCCCTCCCTGCTTGCACAGTTCATTAACCAGAGTTACCCCAGCAAACCGAGGCAGTGACATTCAGAGTCACAGCTCAGCACTCCGAGGATTTCCAGTTCAGGGTCAGCTCAGTACTACACACTGAAATATGGTCAAACTAACCCCAAACTGGAATTGTGAATCCCTGGGGCCAAACTGACACTGAGCAGAGAGGGGGAGGAATAGTATCTTGAGAGCTCACAGCAGAGTAATTGCCCCCATGTGCCAAAGTAAATTAGACAATCTAATAAGCCACAAGTCTATTAATCATCCTCTCCAAAGTCTGCCTTGAGCTTCTTTCTTATTCTTCCCATCTTGGTCTTTGAAATCCTTTGAGAGCAAATCCATTTATAGTGAGAGGCTCAAAGGACTGATCCTCCCCACAGCACCAACTCCAGTGCTCCAGAGCCTCCTCCAGCTCCTTCCAAAGGGCTCTTCTGCCACAAACACAGCTGAGGAGCCCTGAAAACAGGCTCATTCCATGAACTACTGCTCAGAGCAGGGCGAGGGGAAAGGCAAGACATTTGCATTTTTATATTACCCCAAAATACTCTGTCCAAGGGAGGACTGCAGGATAGTGTCCAGATACTAAAAGGATATGAACTGGTTCTGCAAAACCAAAATCTACAATAAATATCACACTGATTTTTGTTGCATTCTGAACATGCTGCCAGCAGCAAGTTACCTTCACCAGGATTTTCCCTCTCAGACTCTGAGGGCTGGGAAGCTGTCTGGGGTCTCCAGTGCTCACAGATGACAAGTCCAGCCTGTCACCAAATATCTCCTTCAAGTACTGAGCAATCTTCTTTTGCTGTTGAATACTGCAGTGGTTTTCAATGGACAGGATCACTGGAAACCTGGGAACAAAACCCCAGGCACTGTCAGAACTGTGTGTGGAGAGAGAACACCTGTACACTCACCACACCAGCTATGGATGGAACAGCCTATTTCTCCCACAGATTTGCCCCATTGTGTTCTAAACTCTTGGCAGCCCCACAAACCTTGGCAAGGAACCCCATATGCCAACTCCATAAAAAATGAAGAACCACCTCCTTCACTTTTCAAATTACCACCTCCTATTTCTCATCAGTAATGTCAAACTTTGGGGCATGGTTAGTTGGTTTGTTTTTCCCCCACAACCCCATCACTGGGTCACATTTCCCTTTTTTTTGTTTTAACGAAGAAAAAGAGGCATTTTCCCTTTATTCTCTCTAAACTCCTCAGAATCCTCTACCCCCACTCATGATTTCAGACTGTATATATATATGATTAAAGTCCATAATAAGCTGTTACATAGCACCATGGCAAATGAAACAGGCTCAGAACACTATCCCACATCTCAGCATTTCCTCACACCACACATGTGACAGCTTTCCAATTTTCCTGCTGAAATAAAGTACTTTCTGTAGGTAGAGAACATCACAGTATTGATTTTGAAGGAGAATTTTGCTGTGGATATGAGTGGGAAGTTCAGCTGAAAGATATTCAAGTGTCAGACTGTTCACAACCTGAGTTTACAGTGCACAAAAGGTCTAATTTGATGGGAAGAGCTTGTGCAGCTGAACAATAAAAGGGAACAGAACCAGCCCCCCTGTGTTTAAAGGAACACATGCCCTGCCTGGTGCTGGCTGTAGGTTCCCACACAGGATGAACCACAGAAAGCAGGTGCAGCTCAGCCCTGGCTCTGCACTTACTCATTCTTGACAAAGGCGTATCTGTTGATGGTTTCGGCCACGTCCCGGAACAGGATTTTGGAAGTCAGAGTGTAGCCATGGTGCACCACTGGCTCCCCATCAGGACCATCCCAGCAATCCACTAGCAAGGCAAAAAAAGCCATACAGTAAGAGATGCCCACGATCCTGGACATTCCTGCTGCTCTCACACTACTCAACCACGCAGGTGTCAACAAGGCTCATTCCATCTCTTCTGACCTGCCAATTGAGCCAAGACTAACAAGACAGTCTTTTCTTAAATCAAATGAGATCCTTGCAACCTAGAACTGTTTTTCCCCTTATACTGAGTTTTTTTTTCCTCATATATAAAATTACAAAGGTGTAATAGGTCAAATAACATTCACAGCTACCTTGGGAAAGCAGATTCTGCTTCTGAAGGCAAGCTATTTAAAAACAATTTATCTTTTCCTACTCCCAATTTAACTTGCAGTTTTATCACTGATTATATGAAGAGCAGCATCAAGTCCATCCCGTGTAGAATGGACCAGCACAAGGATACTTTTCCTAAGGAATTACTGTACCCTGGATTTACACCCAGTTCATTACTGCTGTTACCTATACAGGCAGTTGTTCCCTAGGCTGTGAGGTAGCTACAACAGCTTTGAGGTCAAGCAAAATAACACACAGCTGTGTGTTCTAGTGAACTGTCCTGCAGAGGGAAATCACTCAATTTTCTCAGGTTCACTTTTTCTAATGGATTTTTAAATTCAGATTAATAATTTCTTTTCCAGAGATGAGTTTTGCAATACTAATAGTAAGAGAAAATTAATATTGAGCTTAAATTTATCGAAAGATTTTATTCCACCCAGAATCTGGAAAAATACTAATGTTTTGTTATTATTTAAAACATGCAGAACTCTGGAATCCAACGTGATCTCCACATTCCTCCATGGCAGGGGGTTGGAACTGGATAATCTTTAAGGTTCCTTCCAACCCAAAGCAGTCTGTGATTCTATGGGGTTTATGATATTTGTCTGAGATGGTCCTTCCCCATAAAAAAATTCAGTTTAGACTGCTCAAAACCAGGAGTTTGCTGCTGAAGGGAATCAGACAGTGAAGCCCTAAAGCTTTGAGTTTGCCACTGCCTTTGTGCTTCATGGAAATACCCATCCCACCCTTCAGAACCAGCCAGTTCACTAAAGAAATCCCTGTCCCACCCCTCAGAACCAGCCAGTTCCATCAGAGAAATCCCCGTCCCACCCCTCAGAACCAGCCAGTTCCATCAGAGAAATCCC